CAGAGTCAGGTCTTGATAACAGTGAGCTCCGCAGACGTCACTCGCCTAACAATGTTTTCAAACTCTAGTTCTGGGGGATCCCAAGGCATTCCCAGACCAGATGAGATATGGTCTCCCTCCAGCAAGTCCAGGATCTAACCTGAGGTCTCCTTCCACTTGAAAATGCCCTATAGACCCCTAAAGTAAGATTCCCAGGTGGCATCCTAATCAGAAACCATCTCAGCTGGAGGTTGAGCCCAGCCATCATACAGAGGAAACACATTTTGACCACTTGCATCTCATTCTTTTTGTCACAACCCAGAGCTCATGATCATAGGTGAGGGTTGGAACATAGGCCGACTGGTACATTGAGAGCTTTGCCCTCCAGCTTGGCTCCTTCTTCAAAAAGACAGCCTGGTTAACGCCTGCATTACTGATTATTAAAACCTCGTTAATTAAGTTGCAGTTACAGTGAGTTTGAGTCTGAAATAGCTGTATTTGTTTTTTTTTAATGCAGTTGTTGTTGACGACAGTTATTACAAGACTTTCGGAGTGAGTGAAAGGTCTGTTAATAGAAAGAAGTGTGAAAACAGATCATCTCAGGAAGTTGAGTAATGGTGTAAATGTAGTCCACATGTCAGATGCTTTAGAAGCAGACAAGTGTGTGAACAGCTGAAGTCCTTGAGTCGCGTCTCAGTGGCAGCAGGTAAAGCAGACATTCCAGATGTTTTTCCTCCCCAACAACATTTCCCTGTTCTTCCTGGGGGGATCCTGAGTTGTTTCCAAGCCAGATGAGATACGTAGCCCTTCAAAGCAAGTTTGGGGTCTACCCTATTATTCACTTCCAGTTGGGTGTGACCAAAAATCCACTGAAGGAAGGCACTCAGGAGGCATCCTAACCAGACACATGAACTACCTCAGCTGGCTGCTTTTCACAGGAAGGAGCAGTGACTCTCCCCTGAGCTCACTCTAGATGTCCGAGCTCCTCACCCAGTCACTAAAGCTGAGCCCGGCCTTCCTAAGTAGGAAACTCATCTGGACAGGTTGTATTCGCAATCACATCTACTTTGGTCGTGACCGTAGGTGGGGGTTGGAACGAATTAAATGTCTTTTATCGTCTCGCACCTCCAAAAAATTCTTACATCCCTCAGAGATCCTCTTATTGCACAAGCTCTACAAGATCTTCTACGAATGGTGACAATATTATAGAGAGAAATAAGTGATCCATAGGCTGACACCATGGGTAATCAGCATGCAGCAAAAAACTGATTGTAAAGGAAGGATCAGTCTGGAGGAGTGGAAGGTTCTCCAGCGAGGCAGCCAGATTCACTTCGAAAAAAAACATTTCACGCATGTTAATTAACATGTTGATTTGCTATCTCAGTGCAAGTTTATTAGCAGATACGTCACTGCTCCTTATCAGAG